ACTATGGCATTCCCTAAAATGTACACCAAGTCACACACCTACAAAGGGGAAAAGAAAAACACAAGAAAAGAACAACAACAACAGGATACCAACAGTACACAAAGCACTCACAGTACAATAATCACAGCTGCCACTCTCATCAGAGAGAAACATTCACACACACCAGCACACTCAGAAAAAAACAGACCCATCACGTGAAGCCGAAGCGGAACAGTCTCACTCCACCCCCTCGCAGGCTGCAGTCACTCAAGCAAGCCACACACCACAAGGGAAGAAATATCTCCGTGGCAATGCCGTGAGTGAGACCACCGAGGGAGAATGTGGGAAAGAAATGTGTTTTCATTACGCGGGCGGTGTGAGTGGCAACCCCAAACACACAAAGGCACACACAACAGAGAGGCACACTCAAACACCTACAACCCACCAATCTTTATACCAAAATAAAAAAGTAGAGAAAAAAAGGTGACCATGTGAGGCAGAAACAATAATAGAGCAAAGATGTAAAAGAAAAAAAGAAATTCATTACTTAATGCGGCTGCGATGCCTGGAGACAGCAGTATATCGTATTATACCAAGCGGAAAACCATTGTATAGTGAATGTGTAGCAACCATATATATATATATAGTATTTATTTTTTCCCATTATTATTGTTTATAACAAAAACTCACTCCACAAAAATAAACACACAATATACACAAGGTGTACCAGAAACAAAAAAGGAAAAACAAAACAGTATATAAGGATAAAAAAAAGTCCAATGTAAAAACAAAGACAAGAAAGATGGGAAGAGTGTATAAAACAATTGGTCTGCTGTTGACTGCCTGCCTGCACTGCTGCACAGTGAGGGAAACCACAAAGCAGCACGCCTATTGGCTCGACTGAGAGAGCACGCCACCAGGTGCAGCAGAACAGAGCAGACCCACACAAAGCACCACACCACACAAGGGAAAAACAAAATAATGAAAACAAACACAAAAAAAGAAAGCTGTGATCACCATGTGAATATGTTCAGGGAAGCAACAACACAATCCCAGCAATAGGTGTGTCTTTCGTACAGGGCGAGCAGTGGGAATGATGCACACATGATGACAGTCCACACACACAAAAAGAGAAGGAGGGTTGGTAGTGTGCGTGTTTGTGTGTCTTGAACCTCCTGCCATTCTTCACATTTCATTCACAGCAATTACAACACATCGGGATTGTATCCCATTCCCATGGGTAAAAGCAATAGTTATTAATATCACGGAACACATACACACTTCACCAGGCGAACACAATAAATGGCGGCAAAGCAGAGCCCAAATAATAATGCGAACAAACAAAGAGGACACCCCCCTCACAAAATAATGGTTTGTCATGTGATGAGTGCCATAGGGAGTCCAATAGATTTGTTCAGCAAAATATGCAAACAAGAGATTTATCGTGCTGGAGAGAAAAAAAAGAAACATTAAAATTCAACCGAAAAGATCAGTGCTCTTACAACGCATCCATGTCCACTCAAACAAAGGTTAACTGTTCAGCTGTGTTATGGGAACACCGATCAGCAAACAAGAGCGCAACCCAACATACACATAAGAAGCAACAAGAATGGACTAGACACCATTGAAGGACTGCTGCTGCTGTCTTTCCCGGCCTTTTTCGCCCGTTCCGCTTCTTCCTTTGCCTTTCTCAGCTTCTCTTCGTTCAGCTTTTCCCGTTTTTCTTTCTCCTCGGCCTTTTCTCTTTCCTGCTTCTCCTTCGCCAGCCTCTTTTCCTCCTCTTCCCGCTGCCGCGCCTCAGCCTTCCCTCTTTCCTCCTTTTCCTTCGCCAGCCTCTTTTCCTCCTGTTCCCGCTGCCGCGCCTCAGCCTTCTCTCTTTCCTCTTTCTCTTCAGCCAGTCTGATCCTTTCTGCCTCGGCCCGTTTCTCCTGTTCCATACGTTCGGACTCTTTTTTCTCTGCCTCCCTCAATTCAACCCTCAATTCCGTTGCGGCTGCTGCTCTTATTTTCTCCAGAGGATCCTCTGTTGGCTCACTTACGGGCACCAAATGAGTTACACTTTCGTTTCCCCTCGTCTCTTCAATTGGTTTAACTAAGAGACCAGGCTGTGGTCTTCTGGGATTGGCGCTCGCATTGCTCACTTCCACGGCGTTCTTCAATTTTACAATGCCAAAGGATAAAGAATTCTGGATAGCAGCAAGCCCTTTCGTATTCTCACTAACATCCTTCTCCTTCATTTTTATCTTACCGAGTTTCGCCCCAATCTTTTCAGCAATCGCTGTATAATTCCCAAACGTCTCGTTTATTATCGTTTTCGCGGCTTTTATCTTCTCTACAGCCTTTTTCTTAACGTCGTCGGCGTCCCTAAACCCCCATTTCATATTAACTTGCATTTGGGACGACTCATTGGTTATTGTCTGCAAATCCATATTGAGTTTCTTTCGTTCCGGTGTCAAACACTCTTCACGTCCACTCTTAAAAACGTAATCAAAGTGCAACCGATTATCATTGATCTGCTTAACCACGGCTTCCAAGTTACCAAGTGAAGCAAAACAGGAATGCCTGGCGACACTCGCACGCTGAATCAACGTTGCTGATTCTACGACGACCTTCTCATTTTCATGCACCTTTTCCCCGGCCAGCTTTACTTTCTCCTGCAGTTCGGTAATTTTTTCCGTGGTCATATCACTATCATCTTTCAAACTTCCCTCTTCATTCACCCATTTCTGGAGTTCACTGACACTCTTGGCCGCCTCCTCTGCAACACTTGTGGCATTCGCTTGACTCTCATTGCATGTTTTCACGTTCTTCGCCAACTCGGTTAGACAAGCCCTTCCTTTTACAATGTGTTCCATCGCCTCGTCTCGCAAGGTACCCAACTTTTTATCTGAACCACCCAGATCTTCTTCACAGGTTGCGTATGCCACACTCACGAAGCACTGCAGGAGTACCAACAGGTACACCACACGGCGCAGTTGGACGAACATCGTTGTCACGATTGTCACTGTGAGTTGCTTGGAACTGTGGTAACAAGGAAGAAGAGGAAAAGGAGAAAAGTAGACGCATATTTAATACACAAGCCAGACAGTACACATCAATAGAGAAAGAGTGAGAGAGAGTACACATCACAACAGCAATTAAACACAACCCAATGAGGGAACAACAATACACCACTCACACAATAAAACACACCCGGAGTTACACAGATATTGAAACAACACCTTGAATTTAGAAGAAATGGAAAACAAATGGTTTCAAAACAATATTGAATAAACGTCTCTTCACACACGCTCCAATATCTTACTCGGTATTCATACACAAAGTGTGTCTGTATTCTCATTATAATAAAACCATTACCAGGCAGTTTGAACACCAAAATACAGCAAAAACCCAGTGTACGCCTGACAGCATACAAAAACAATACCACAAATCATCAGCAAAACAAAGAGACTGTACAATAATCAACACACACTTCCAAACAGAAAAAAAAAGAAAGAAACCAATGCATCACCATAATATTTATACCAACACCACAATTGGAATCCAAAACCCACTCACTCACAACCATAACAAAAATGACTGCATACATCACTGTAATACCATGCCACTCTTTACAAACAGAGGCAACACATAGTTACTCTCTCTCACACACATATCACCTCTTTATTTATCCTTATTATTATTATTATTTTATTTTTTCCCCAGAATGCCGGTTCGCCCCTTCTTCTCCCACAGCATTATCACCAAAAAAAAAAACACCCACACAATCGATCACACATACTTTTCTCTTTGGTGTGTATTAGGAAGGTGCGATCTTACATATCCCCTTCCACCCCCAACCCATGGGAGGCAGAGGCCCACTGCCAGAGTGAAACGTCCGGCACCGCAAACAAAAACGCAATCACAACCAGCACATGTAGAAAACACAAATCACGACGGCAAAAACCAGATGGCGTGCCTGGCACCCCCAAAAATGTACATGGGGATGGTGGGCTTTTGTCGGTGGATATCGCACCACGCATACAAACCCCACAGACGCCGCAGTGGAGTGGTCCAGCAACACAACGGTGTCCCTCCCACTCACAGTGCACACACACACAATGACAGTCTCACATGCTCATGTCAGAGAGGCACTGCCGCATTCCCTAAAATGTACACTAAGCCACACACCTACAGAGAGGAACAGAAACACAAGAGAAGAACAACAACAGGATACCAACAGTACACAAGGCACCCACAATACAATAATCACAGGCGCCACTCTCATCAGAGAAAAACATTCACCCACACCAGCACATCAACTCAATCCCAAAAAGAAAAAAAAAAACAGACTCATTACGTGAAGCCGATGCGGAACAGTCTCAGCCCACCTCCCCGCAGGTTGCAGTCACTCAAGCAAGCCGCACACACACAAGGGCGGAAATATGTTCGTGGCAATGCCACGTGAGTGACAACACCGAGAGAGAGAATATGAGAACAAAGAAATGTGTTTTCATTACGTGGGTGGTGTGAGTAGAAACCCAAACACACAAAGGAACACACAACAGAGGGGCACACTCAAACACCTACAAAATAAAAATGTGAAAAAAAAGAGTGACTGCATGAGGCAGACACAATAATAGAGCAAAGATGTAAAAGAAAAAAAGAAATTCATTACTGACTGTGGCTGCCATGCCTGGACACAGTCCAATCCACCCCAAGGCCAAGAACGGAAAATCATTGTGTACTGAACGTGCCGCGCCCATATCTTTATTCTTGATGTCCCTGCAGCAGTTTGTATATAATGAAAAAAAAGAATCATTCCATAAAAATGAGCACACAAGATACACAAGGTGTTTCAGAAACAAAAAAGGAAAAACAAAGCAGTATATAGGGATCAAAATAAGTCCAATGTAAAAACAGAGACAAGAAAGATGGGAAGAGTGTATAAAACAATTGGTCTGCAGTGGACTGCGTGCCTGTACAGCTGCACGGTGAGAGAAACCACAAAGCACCTCACCTATTGGCTCAACTGAGAGAGCACACCACCAGGTGCAGCAGAACAGAGCAGACCCACACACAAATCACCACACCACACAAGGGAAAAACAATATAATGAAGACAAACAAGAAAAGAAAAAAGCCGTGATCACCATGTGAATATCTTCAGGAGGCAATAACACAATTCCCTGCAGTGTGTGTGTGTGTCTTTCGTACAGGGCAACCAGCGGGAATGATGCACACATGATGACAGTCCACACACACACACACAAGGAGAAGGAAGGTTGGTAGTGTGCGTGTTTGTGTGTCTTGAACCTCCTGCCATTCTTCACATTTCAGTCACGGCAATTGCAACACATCGGGATTGCATCACATTCCCATGGCTAAAAGCAATAGTTAGTAATATCACGGAACACACACACACATAACCAGGCGGGCACAGTGATCGGCGGCAAAACAGTGCCCAGTCAATGCGAACAAAGGAAGAGGAGACTCCCCTCACAAAATGATGGTTTGCATGTGATGAGTGCCATAGTAGCCCAATAGATGTGTTCATTAAAAAAATGCAAACAAGAGATTTATCGAACTGAAAAGGAAAAAAAAAAAAACATTAAAATTCAATAAAAAGAACAGCATCCTTACAACGCATCCATGTCCACTCAAACAAAGGTTAACTGTGTAGCTGTATCACGGGAACAACGATCAGCACACGAGAGTGCAACCCAGCACACACATCAGAACAAGAAGCAATAAGGGACTGTGTACCAATGCAGGGCTGCTGCTGCCATCACTCCATCTTATGGTTATGTTTGTCCGTTCCGCCACTTCCATTGTCTCTCTTACCTTTTCTGCCTCTCTGGCTTTGTCTTCCTTGTTCTTTTCAGCCTCAGCAGGTCGTGTGCTCTCTTCTCCTTTTACCGGCTTCTGTTCTTCTTCCTCTCTGTCCTTTTCATCCCTGTTCTTTTCTGTTGGCTCTTTGACTTTTTCTTTCTCAACCACGCGTTCTGCAGCCCCTTGAACGTTTCCCGCCTCCTCATTCGGAACCTGTTTTGCTTCTTCTTCAGCCCTTCTCTGCTCCGCAATGCGTTCCATCACCGTTTTCTTTGCCTCTTTCACCTTTTCTTCAATTTCCTTAGTGGCTTGCTCCATTCTTTTATTCTCATTTTCCTTCTTAAAATCTTCGATTTCTTTTAATTTTTCTTCGCTTAATTGTTTAATGTTTTTCAAGTTATTTTCCACGTTTGTCCCATCTCTTACCATAATCGCTCCCTTTGCGGTGAGAGCCGTCGCAATTCCACTGAACGTATCCATCACAGATTTCCAAGTTTTTAACAGATCCCGTGCTTCAAAAACGGCCTTTTCGCATCGTTTTAGCTCACTATCGATGTCGCTCTGGAGTTTGGTTAACTTTTCGCGTATCTTTGTGCCTCTTTCATCGAGCTCCGCGGTCGTGTTGAGGTTGTTCAGGACGACCTTCACTTCGTCGAGCGCCTTCTGGCACAATGTTTTTGCGCTCTCTACATTGTCGATTGGTTTCTGCAGAGCATAGGGCGCGGTGTTCTTTTTATTCAGTGCCATTTTAACCTTGTGCAAGAAATCCCTGAATTCCTTACCATCGACACCTTTCTCCGGTTCAATTTTCCCATCGTCTTTAGTATTCGTGTACATCTGCATGTCATTTTGAAACACAGCAAATTCATCCACTGCCCCCGCGCGGCGCGAATACGTTTGATTACATGAAGACACCTCCTTCTTCAACACAGACAATATAGCTTCCCCCTCCAAGAGAACTCTTTCAGCGTCACTCGTGTTCAAAAGAACTTCTTCGACCGGATTTTCCACACTTTGGGCATTACTCGCGAGTTGCCCGCCTGCGCCCGCTACGCTCTCCACCGTATCGCCTCGCGCACACATACAGCAGTGCAGAAGTACCAACAGGTACACCACACCACGCAGTTGGACGAACATCGTTGTCATGATTGTCACTGTGGGTTGCTTGGATCTGCGGTAACAAGGAAGAAGAAAAGGAGAAAAGAGACGCACATTTAACACACTGCGAAATAAACAGCAGTGAAGAGAGTGTGCGAGAGAGAGAGAGAGTACACATCACAACAGCAATCCAATGAAGGATCGACAAACCACTCACACAAAACAAAGCAACGCGACGCAGGCAATCAATCTCACCACTTAACAAAAAAAAAAAATACACTCCGGATTCCGCATTGATGTTAAAACAACACCCCCAATTACGAAAAAAAAAACCACAAAAACAATAAAAAGAAACAGCACCATGGGAATTTACCTGCAGATCCCAATTATCCCACTCAGCAATAATATACAACGTGCCTCTGACCATCTTTCACCGATAGCGCAACCTTATTGCTCGAATGATCGCGGCATCCCCCAAAAAACTGGTATAAGACCACTGAGGAGACGCCAGCAAACACAGGACCCCATATCACGAAACAGTACTCAAGGAGCACTCCCATATGAATGTCAAATGTAACACCCCAACCCATCAACCATCACAACATCCACACGTCAAATTCCCTGCAATTCCAACACGGGCGCACGCAACATCGGCACCCCTTACTTCAAAGAACTGCACGGACGGTTGACACCATCCCCCATTAGCTCATGAACACATCACAATGATGTGTGTCTATGTGCGCACACGTTCATTACACACGCCTGTCTTCCGTACCTCTTTGTGTGTACCGGATCCGTGGCGCATATCAAAAATACACGAGTGACCCACTCGGAAATAGGACCTCCAAACACCACGAGATAACGGACACCATTAGGTGAGCAACCGCAGACAAAGTCGTGCGGCACCACACGAAATCGCACATTACTTTCATAATGCCGGAGATTGGGGACAATCACCATTGTATGGGATGTGAAAACACACTTGCGGGAGAAAAACAAAGATGTACATCATCAACAATATTCGGAATGAACACGCGACCCCGGGGTACAAGAACTGGCGAGAAGTTCACCTGCATGCCATGAACAATGTCCACGCAATCAAGCACAAGAACAAACAATACCAAAGAACAATGTTTTCACGAACGCATAACCGGAGAATCGTTTACAGCATACCCTCAACACATATGCGCACACAATTCCCGTCACCCCACCAACCTCTCAGCCACTCGAAATCCTCCCCTCAATGTACATAAGAAAGGTACGATCCGACATATCCCCTTCCACCCACACTCCCCACCTGGGCCAGCCCACCCCATGGGAGGCACAAGCCCTCACCCGGAGCGCAACACGCGGTGCCGCAAACAAAAGCGCAACCACCACCAGCACATGTAGAAAACACAAATCACGACGGCAAAAACCAGATGGCGCGCCTGGCACCCACCAAAAAAAATACAGGGGTGGGGGTCCGACCCCGCCACACGGACAAGTCCGAGACGGCCCGGGGCACCACCTAACTCCACCAAGGCGGAGCAGCACAACGACACAGAGGCTACGAACGACCAAAAGAAGAATAAAAACTAGTAGAACACCAAAATAGCAGAGGCGCAACTATTGTAGAGGCCGCCTGCTTCGACCAGAAAACCGCCACCCCACCCCGGCGCCACCAGCCGGCCAAAGTTGTGACAGACGGCGGCGGCGACGCCACCAGGCCGGCACAACCCAAAACACCGGAACAACCCAACACCTACAAGGGTTAGCTTGTGTGCGAAAATGTGCCCCAATACCACCGTAACGAGGCCCAGTAGAGCACGGAGGCGGGAAACGCACGGCACTCGCAAAACTGAAAATTCACCCCCTGGAGGTGGGGCTGGGAAGGGTGCCCCGGGGACATAATATGTTCTTTTGCGTGTATTTTGGGTGCGACCATACTTGGCCGAATGCGCCATATCCCGTCCGATTTGTGAAGTTAGGCGGCCACAGGCCTCGTCAGTACGGCGGTCAGTGGTGGTGGCGCTGGAACCCGGGGTGCCGTACCCTCCTCAACTTTTTTTTTTGCCATCATGGGGTAGGCGCCGCGGGCCTCTGAAGCGAACCACGGCTCGCCTTTGGCAACGAGGGCTCTCCAATCGCGGCGCCCAGCTTACGCACTTCCACCTATTCAGGGAAACCAAACATACCTCACACATTGTTGTGGTGGGGTGCCAGCAAAACAAAATACCTGTGGGACAAAATGTTCCTATCGCGCGCCATTTTCTGTAATTCCCATGGATTTCCTTTTCACACCGCACATGGCAGTAGCGGAACGTCTTAACACCATCGTGGCATAATTTGCCTTCATCATAGGGAAGGAATGAATCGCCCTCTTGTTCTTTGTTCATGGTGCCGCGTGCCACCGAGTAAAAGATGCGGTTGAATGGCCACACCACGTCAAGAGGGGAACGGGGAAGGGTCATCTTTGCGGAATACCCTTCAAACCCATCTTCCCCAGCGTTGAAGTAGGGAAAGCAAGAGTTTCCCACTATTCCCAACCCCACTCATTTTATAAGTGAAACACCCCCAGGGAGCCACCCCACACCTCTTTTTGTTGCGCAAAAGGCGCTGTGACAAGTTGGCCGCCCGCCTTGGGTTGTGGGGGTTGTGTTCTCCTCCTCCCCCTTCTTGGGGTGAGGGGTAAAAAAAAAAAGAAAAGGCCGAAACCCGACAACGAGCCTCGAGCATTGCGCACGTAGACTGGTTGCCGGGTTTCATCCTTTTTTTTTCCTCATCCTCACTCTTCTTTTTCTCTCAAGTTCAAAGTCCCTGAGCATGATATTTCAGGCCTCAAGGTTCAGCGCCTCGGGACGTAAAGTGCCCCTCGAGCCCCGCCGAAGCGAAGCATGCCGCTCATGCCAGCCCATGCATGTTCTCTCGTTTGGAGAGGGACGCAAAGTGGTTGTGTTTGTGTCGTGTGTTGCTGTGACGTGCATGTTTGGAGTGCATGCCGCGCCGCAACTGTCCTCAGACAGGAATTTCGACCAACGCCGTTGCGTTTGGGGTGCGGTCCATTTCAAGATGAGCCTCTAGGCGCGTCTGTAT